ACCTCAAGACGTGTTCAGTTCAGTCGCTCAGTCGTGTCCGACTCTTTGCGACCCCATGAATCACAGAACGCCAGGCCTCCCTTTCCATCACAAACTCTTGGAGTTTACTCAAACTCATGCCCATCGAGTCAGTGATGCCATCCAGCCATCTCATCCTCTGTCGTCCCCTTCGCCTCCTGCCCGCAATCCCTCCCAGCATCAGAGTCTTTTCCAATGAGTCAACTCTTTGCATGAGGTGGCGAAAGTATTGGAGTTTCAGCTTCAGCATCAGTCCTTCCAGTGAACACCCAGGACTGATCTTCAGGATGGACTGGTTGGATCTCCTTGCAGTCCAAGGGACTCTCAAGAGTCTTCTCCAACACCACAGTTCAAAAGCATTTATTTTTCAGCGCTCAGCTTTCTTCACAGTCCAACTCTCACATCCATACATGACCACTGGAAAAACCATAGCCTTGACCAGACGGACCTTTGTTGGGAAAGTTATGTCTCTTTTTTAATATGCTGTCTAGGTTGGTCATAACTTTCCTTCCAAGCACCTTTTAATTTCATGGCTGCAGTCACCATCTGCAGTGATTTTGGAGCCCCCAAAATAAAGTCTGACACTGTTTCCACTGTCTCCCCATCTTTTTCCCATGAGGTGATGGGACCAGATATCATGATCTTAGTTTTCTGAATGTTGAGCTTTAAGCCAACTTTTTCACTCTCCTCTTTCACTTTCATCAAGAGGCTTTTTAGTTCCTCTTCACTTTCTGCCATAAGGGTGGTGTCATCTGCATATCTGAGATTATTGATACTTCTTCCGGCAATCTTAATTCCAGCTTGTGCTTCTTCCAGCCCAGCGTTTCTCATGATGTACTCTGCATATAAGTTAAATAAACAGGGTGACAATATACAGCCTTGACACACTCCTTTTCCTATTTGGAACCAGTCTATTGTTCCACGTCCAGTTCTAACTGTTGCTTCCTGACCTGCATATAGGTTTCTCAAGAGGCAGGTCAGGTGGTCTGGTATTCCCATCTCCTTCAGAATTTTCCACAGTTTATTGTGATCCACACAGTCGAAGGCTTTGGTGTAGTCAATAAAGCAGAAATATATGTTTTTCTGGAACTCTCTTGCTTTTTCAGTGATCCAGCGGATATTGGCAATTTGATCTCTTGTTCCTCTGCCTTTTGGACATATGGAAGTTCTCAGTTCACGTATTGCTAAGACCTGGCTTGGAGAATTTTGAGCATTACTTTACTAGCATGTGAGATGAGTGCAATTGTGCGGTAGTTTGAGCATTCTTTGGCATTGCCTTTCTTAGGGATTGGAATGAAAACTGACCTTTTCCAGTCCTGTGGCCACTGCTGAGTTTTCAAAATTTGCTGGCATATTGAGTGCAGCACTTTCACAGCATCATCTTTCAGGATTTGAAATAGCTCAACTGGAATTCTATCACCTCCACTAGCTTTGTTCGTAGTAAGGCCCACTTGACTTCAAATTCCAGGATGCCTGGCTCTAGGTGAGTGATCACACCATTGTGATTATCTGGGTCATGAAGATCTTTTTTGTACAGTTCTTCTGTGTATTCTTGCCATCTCTTCTTAATATCTTCTGCTTCTGATAGGTCCATACCATTTCTGTCCTTTATTGAGCCCATTTTTGCATGAAATGTTCCCTTGGTATCTCTAATTTTCTTGAAGAGATCTCTAGTCTTTCCCATTCTGTTGTTTTCCTCTATTTCTTTGCAATGATCGCTGAGGAAGGCTTTCTTATCTCTCCTTGCTATTCTTTGGAGCTCTGCATTCAAATGGGTATATCTTTTCTTTTTTCCTTTGCTTTTTGCTTCGCTTCTTTTCACAGCTATTTGTAAGGCCTCCTCAGACAACCATTTTGCCTTTCTTTTCCACGGGGATGGTCTTGATCCCTGTCTCCTGTACAATGTCACGAACCTCCGTCCATAGTTCATCAGGCTCTCTGTCTATCAGATCAAGTCTCTTAAATCTATTTCTCACTTCCACTGTATATTCATAAGGGATTTGATTTAGGTCATACCTGAATGGTCTAGTGTAGCCATCTAGACCTGAATGGTCTAGTCAAGATGTGTAGCCATCATTAATTTTGTCAGAGGCCTGGTTACACATTGGGTAAAAATTGACTTACAGTTGGGTTAAAAGCATGTATGCGCCTGTGTGTATGTGTGTGTGTGTGTGTGTGTGTGTGTATTGGAAGGACTGATGCTGAAGCTGAAGCTACAATACTTTGGTCACCTGATGCGAAGCACTGACTCATTGGAAAAGACCCTGATGTTGGGAGAGATTGAAGGTAGGAGGAGAAGGGGACGACAGAGGATGAGATGGTTGGATGGCATCACTGACTCGAAGGACTTGAGTTTGAGAAAGTTCCGGGAGTTGGTGATGGACAGGGAAGCCTGGTGTGCTGCAGTCTGTGGGGTCGCAAAGAGTCGGACATGACCGAGTGACTGAACTGAACTGTTTGGGGCCCTTTAATGTTGGGGATTGGTATGGGGGGTCCTTCTGGCCCATCCAACCTTAGATAATTGTTGTGGTCTGTGTGTGGCTTAGAAAAAAATTTCCAGACACGAAGTATTTCAGAAGAGAGTGAGTTTATTGAGAACAAAGAACGAAGATAGTGAAGGGTGCTGCAAACATAGCAGCTGACTTCCTGACAGACCAGGGAGAGCTGACCCATTTCACAGGCTAGTGGTCAATTTTATAGCCTCAAGATGAAGAAAATTCCTGCTGGAAGGGTGGCATTAGGTGATTGGTCAGAAAGCTATATGGTGACTATTTTACCTAATATGAAGTCAGGGAACAGGCTAATTTAAATTTAGGTCAGGAGGGCTCATGGTGACAGTCGCTATGGGGCTTGGTCAATTCCAGAGATTTTTGTCCTGTGACCTCAATATAGAGCTCCACAGTAGTTTTGTATCAAAACATTTTGTTTTAATCCCATTAATATCTATTTTCTTTGCCTTATATCTTGATAACTATCTAAAGACTTTTATCCTTTTGGGATGAGTCCCTTTAAAATTTTCACCTTCTTATAAAGAAATCTATATAGTTTTTCTTAGGTTCTTATTTTCCTGTTACTCAATCAACCTAATCAACAATCTAATGTTTTTTATCCATGATCTAATTTGTTTTTCATAGGTACCAATAAAATGGCTGTTTATAATGAGAACTAAAAAATTGCCAATTTAGAAATTTCACCAGTTTAAAGAATCCATCCTCTGGCCATTGATGAGATATACCTTAATAGTGACTCACACCAAAAACATGCAAGAGCCTCCTGCACAAGAGAGTACAGAGGATGCAACCTTCACAAAATCTAGAAGGTTTACTCCCCAAAATAGTTTAAGAAAATAAAGGACCTTGGTTGTACCGGTGGACACAATGAAAGTGAAGATGACAGAGGCCCGTTATGGACAGCTCTTAATGACAAGTTTTCCTGAGAGTTGGCACAGCCAAGCTGGACAAAAAGATTGCCCAGGATTCCAGTCTGTTTGGCTGCCAAATGTACACCATGTGTGTACCTTCTGGATGGTAGACCAAGGTCTCAAGCTGAGATTTTTAAGAACCTCATTTTAAATTTGCAGTAAAAATTTACAACTTAATTTTTTCACAAAGTTCAAGTATGTTAGAACAAGTCTTTAATATTAATAATAACAAGAGCAATAATAAAACAATAGACACAAATCACAGAGTGTAACTTAAAGAACTCTCTCTTTCTGGATTTTATATATTATTTGTTCTTCAACGATGTCCTGTGAGTTCTTATATGTCTTGGTGATAAGAGACATTGTAGAACATTATACATGAAGTGAAGTGAAGTGAAGTTGCTCAGCTGTGTCCGACTCTTTGCGATCCCATGAAGTGTAGTCCACTGGGCTCCTCTGTCCATGGGATTTTCTGGGCAAGAATACTGGAGTGGGTTGCCATTTCCTTCTCCAGGGGATCTTCCTGACCCAGGGATCAAACCCGGGTCTTGTGCACTACAGGCAGACTCTTTACCATCTGAAGCACTCTTTACCACCAGGGAAGCACATTATACATGGGACATGGTAAACATTGTTCTTTTTCTCATATAGCTTTCTCCTTTAATGGCAAAATGAGGTGGGAAGAGCATTGTACCATTCTCTCTGTTAATATTTCTAACAAAGAACTGAATTTAAAGAGAAATCTGAAATTTTCCTCCTAAGAGAGAATTATAGAAAGTGTCTTGTGGTTATTTGTGTTTTTTTTCCCACATTTCACTCACTTTTACTTGCACATGTGTGACTCATGTCCAGGACCAGGGGAGCAACATTTCTTTATAACTCATGGGATTAAATGCTTACACACAGTTTTGCTGTTTTTTTCCTCCTAAAGGGAAAACCCTACTAAGAACAGAATGTGATGGAAAGACTTGCAGCTAATTATGCTAGTTGTGTCAGTGCTGCAGCCCCAAGAATCCAGGTCTCCAGTTCCTGAATCATGACTGAAAATTTACACTGTGGTGTTTGGCTCCCTAAGGGATATAATTATTTTCTCCATGATATCCAGTACTTGAAATGACCTAAGCAAAAGCCTTTCTTTTCTCTTCTTCCCTTCTTCTGGTGTGTGGCAAAATAAGTTGCTTTTGTAGCAACTAGAAATTCTCGAGGTCTTGTCCTTGCTGGTGGATGGCCTAAGGGATGCTGCTGGTAGAGATCAAAGAGCTCAGTGGTTCTGCTGGGCAGAAAACACTTTGCCTCTTATCACCCATCTTCCTCCCACAAAATCCTGAGATGTGAGACACTATCAGTGGTTCCAAATACTAAGAGCGCCATCATAACCCTGAAAGGTACTGGCCTACCTTGTCCTCCTGGTGGCTGAGGGACCCAAACCAGAGTAGATGGATGCCTAACCCTCCTGAAGGACTGTAGAGTTGTTCCTAAAATACACACCCTCTCCTTGGCCTCCAAAAAATAATCTCTCTGTCCTTCCACAGGCCTGATGTTTTCTTCCACTGTGTTTCAGGGCTCATCGTCGGGGTGATCCTGAGGTATGGCACCACTGCCACCAGTGGTCATGACAAGTCACTCAGCTGCACTCAGGAAGACAGGGCCTTCAGCACCTTATTAGTGAATGTCAGTGGAAAGTTCTTTGAATACACCCTGAAAGGAGAAATCAGCCCCGGCAAGGTCAACAGTGTAGAGCAGAACGACATGCTGAGGAAGGTGAGCTGTTGTGGTCCTGACATGGTCTTTGTTTTTTAATGCAAAACTCTTACTGCTTTACTTAATTAAAAACTACTGATGTGGTATTTGATTTTCCAATTCTGTCTTGACCTTGTGAAGAGAAATATTTTCAAATTCCTAGAACATCAGTAACATTCCTGGCTCTCAGTTTGGCTAGGAAGCTTTTGGACTGTGATGAAGAGAAGGTACCAGATTTGAACTTGAGCCTTTTAGCTTTGTCAGACTGACGTGGGCCACCAGTGGTGCACTGTGCTTGTACATCCCCATTCAGCTCCTCTCTCCAGCTCCCATCTCTTCTTGACTATGTTTCTTATCCTTGTTATGGTTTAGGAATGAGATTGTTTCTTTCTGAAAATAAGATTGGTTTCTAATTTTTCTTTTAGCTTGTATATTCAGTGTTCAGAAATTATTCTTAGTTCTTCATGATTCTTTTTACCATATTCTACAATTTACATTTCCCAATTTATTGACTGCAATTAGTGATTGCGGTCATAGAGTGCAGCCTGCATTCTGAAAATTATTGTTCTCTGGATCTGCCATAATCCTTAAAGAAAATTATTCTCAACCTGGAATGTTAAACATGCCCATCATCTCTCTGTCCCTAATGGCAATTCTAGTGAGCTCTTTGCTTTCAACCCTTCATAAGAATGCATAGGATTTCCATAAAAACATTTGCGAAATTAAATGCAACTGAGAAAGATACCCAGTGTAAATATCACACTAATGACTGTTCTGAAATGGCCACCCAAGTCCTTCATACTAGAGAGGATGTGGGGGAAAGGGGAAGGACCCCAGCCCATTTCCATCTTTGAGTTTCGTAATAGAAGATGAAGTTGACTTTTACTCTGTTATCTTTAGAAAAATGTGTATTCAGATCCCTCCTTTTTAAACTTTTCCCACATAAAGCAAAGGTGGGAGAACAGACACAGCTAAGATTATTGTTGTCCGTTGAAGGGAGAAGAGGCCTGTTGAGGCAGCTTGGTTGATGCAGAGTATTAGAATGGGTGTCAGGGAACTCTTGTGCTGATTCATACATTTCTGGGTTTGGAGACTTCAGCAAGTCACAAACTCTTTGGCCCCAGTGCCCTCATATTGGATAGATATTGTCCAAGGCCCCTTCTCATTCTGATATTCTCTGCTTTTCAGACTACTTTTATCTTTAGCAAGAAGATAGAATAAAACATAATTTGAATTAAAACATACTGTGAATTAGGCTAATCAACAGTTTCAGTTTCTAAAGTGAAATGCTAATTTAATAATTAGAATTATTAAATATTTAATTATTAAAGATTTAATAATTAGAATGAAGATTTAAAATAATTAATTGAAATAAGAGCCAGTTAATCTACAAACATGAGAAATTCTTTAAAAGGGTTAGGAGGCTTTATAGAATGTTTAATTCTTTTCTGGATGTCATAAGACTTTGTTAATAGTTTCACACTGATTTCCCTGATTGTGCTGTGCTGTACTTAGTTGCTCAGCTGTGTCTGACTCTTTGCAACTGCATGGACTGTAGCCTGCCAGGCTCCTCTATCCATGCAGATTCTCCAGGCGAGAATACTAGAGTGGGTTGCCATTCCCTCCTCCAAGGGATCTTCCCAACCCAGGGATTGAACTGGGGTCTCCTGCATTGCAGGTGGATTCCTTACTAGCTGATCTACTAGGGAAGCCCAGTTTCCCTGATTACCTACAGGTAATTTTAGTCTCCTTAGTACATGAACTGTGAACTTCCAGATGATTGAGCTGGATTTAGAAAAGGCAGAGGAACCAGAAATCAAATTGCCAACGTCGGTTGGATCATTGAAAAAGCGAGAGTTCCAGAAAAACATCTACTTCTGCTTTATTGATTATGCCAAAGCCTTTGCCTATGTGGATCACAACAAACTCTGCAAAATTCTGAAAGAGATAGGAATACCAGACCACCTGACCTGCTTCCTGAGAAATCTGTGTGCAGGTCAAGAAGCAACAGTTAGAACTGGACATGGAAAAACAGACTGATTCCAAATCAGGAAAGGAGTATGTCAAGGCTTTATATTGTCACCCTGCTTATTTAACTTATATGCAGAGTACATCATGCAAAATGCTGGGCTTGAAGAAGCACAAGCCGGAATCAAGATTGCCAGGAGAAATATCAATAACCTCAGATATGCAGATGATACCACCTTTATGGCAGAAAGTGAAGAAGAACTAAAGAGCCTCTTGATGAAAGTGAAAGAGGAGAGTGAAAAAGTTGGCTTAAAGCTCAACATTCAGAAAACTAAGATCATGGCATCTGGTCCCATCACTTCATGGGAAATAGATGGGGAAACAGTGGAAACAGTGTCAGACTTTATTTTTTTGGGCTCCAAAATCACTGCAGATGGTGATTGCAGCCATGAAATTAAAAGACGCTTACTCCTTGGAAGGAAAGTTATGACCAACCTAGACAGCATATTAAAAAGCAGAGACATTACTTTGCCAACAAAGGTCCATCTAGTCAAAGCTATGGTTTTTCCAGTAGTCATGTATGGATGTGAGAGTTGGACTATAAAGAAAGCTGAGTGCCTAAGAATTGATGCTTTTGAACTGTGGTGTTGGAGAAGACTCTTGAGAGTCCCTAGGACTGCAAGGAGATCCAAGCAGTCCATCCTAAAGGAAATCAGTCCTGAATATTCATTGGAAGGACTGATGTTGAAGCTGAAACTCCAATACTTTGTCCACCTGATGTGAAGAACCGACTCATTGGAAAACACCCTAATTCTGGGAAAGATTGAAGGTGGGAGAAGGGGATGACAGAGGATGAGATGGTTGGATGGCATCACTGACTCGATGGACATGAGTTTAAGTAAGCTCCTGAAGTTGGTGATGGACAGGGAAGCCTGGCGTGCTGGAGTCCCTGGGGTTGCAGAGAGTCGACAACGACTGAGCAACTGAACTGAAAGAGTTGATAAATTTCTGTTGATGTTCAGGAAGCCATTAACACCACTGGAGACTTTGGTCTAGGCCAAAATGGCTGTCAGTCAAAAAAGACTTAAATTCATTACAATTATATCTATAAATCATTAGGTGGTAGGATGCAGAAAATTAGTAAAGAATCATGCCCGCACCTTTTATTGTAGTTGAACTTTTGTAACAGTTTAATAAAAATCAAGATGTTTTCATTTGTTGTTTAAGAACATTGACCAGAAGCTTTCTGTTAGTTATCAAAATTGCACTGAATTGTTGTGTCTTAATACATATTTGACAACCCATCAAGAGTAGAGCACAGAAGTGCTATATGGAGAAGAACAGACCAGTGTTCATGGGAGCTGTGGCTTCTCTCCTGTGTGATTTTTCACATTTATGTCATTTTTTAAAATATTCAAACTTTCAGTTCAGTTCAGTCACTCAGTCGTGTCTGACTCTGCGACCCCATGAATCGCAGCATGCCAGGCCTCACTGTTCATCACCAACTCCTGGAGTTTACCCAAACTCATGTCCATCGAGTCAGTGATGCCATCCAGCCATCTCATCCTCTGTCGTCCCTTTCTCCTCCTGCCCCCAATCCATCCCAGCATCAGGATCTTTTCCAGTGAGTTAACTCTTCACATGAGGTGGCCAAAGTACTGGAGTTTCAGGTTCAGCATCAGTCCTTCCAATGAACACCCAGGACTGATCTCCTTTAGGATGGACGGGTTGGATCTCCTTGCAGTCCAAGGGACTCTCAAGAGTCTTCTCCAACACCGCAGTTCAAAAGCATCAATTCTTTGGCACTCAGCCTTCTTTATAGTTCAACTCTCACATCCATACATGACTACTGGAATAACCATAACCTTGACCAGACGGACCTTTGTTGGCAAAGTAACGTCTCTGCTTTTTAATATGCTATCTAGGTTGGTCATAACTTTCCTTCCAAGGAGTAGGTGTCTTTTTAATTTTTTTTTCATTTATTTTTATTAGTTGGAGGCTAATTACTTTACAATATTGTAGTGGTTTTTGCCATACATTGACATGAATCATCCATGGATTTACATGTGTTCCCCATCCTGATCCCCCCTCCCACCTCTTTAATTTCATGGCTGAAATCACCATCTGCAATGATTTTGGAGCCCCAAAAAATAAAGTCTGCCACTGTTTCCCCATCTATTTCCCATGAAGTGACAGGACCAGATGCCATGATCTTAGTTTTCTGAATGTTGAGCTTTAAGCCAACATTTTCACTCTCCTCTTTCACTTTCATCAAGAGGCTTTTTAGTTCCTCTTCACATTCTGCCATAAGGGTGGTGTCATCTGCATATCTGAGGTTATTGATATTTCTCCCAGCAATCTTGATTCCAGCTTGTGCTTCTTCCAGCCCAGCGTTTCTCATGATGTACTCTGCGTATAAGTTAAGTAAGCAGGGTGACAAACTTTAGTCAGTGGCTTAAAATATTAAGGAAATAATATGGCACCAGTTAGTATTAAATAAAAATTGCTTTTTTTAACTTTTAGGTAACATTTGATCCAGAGGTCTTTTTCAACATTCTGTTGCCTCCAATTATTTTCCATGCTGGGTACAGTTTAAAGAAGGTAAGGGATTTTTTTACGGAATTTTTTAAAGCATGGGAATCTCTGTGTTAAGTTATCTGCACAATTTTCTAGTTTTTTTACTTCTCCCGGATTGCTTATTACTATGTTCTGTACCCACTCAGAGACAGCAGCTGATTCATCATCATCAGTGACTCATCTCTGTTTTAAAGTCCAGAACTCTCATCCATTGCTCTTGGGAATGTAAAATGGTACAGCCTCTCTGGAAAACACTTTCGCAGTTTCTTATAAAACTAAAGTTGAAATAACCATTTGGCCCAGAGATCTTAATTCTGAGGATTTATCCAAGAGAAATGAAAACTGCTATTTACACAAAACACTGTACATCATTATTCATAGCTACTTTATTTGTAATAGCCCATAACTGGAAACAATGTCCCATGATAGGTAAATGGTTAAACAAACATCCATACCGTGGGATACTTCTCAGTAATAAAATGGAACAAACCACTGATACACAAAACAGCCTGGATGGATCTCAAATGCGTTATGCTGAGTGCAAAAATCCAGTCTCAAAAGGTCACATACTATATGGTTTCATTTTATATAGCTTTCTAGAAATGAAAAAATTATGGGGATGGAGGACAAATTAGTGGTTGCCAGTGGTTAGGATGGTTGGGAAAAGAAGTGGGTGACTGTGAGTATAAATGGGTAGCATGAGGGAAATCTTCATGAAAGTGGAACAGTTCTGCATCTTGATTGCAGTGGTGGTTATAAGACTCTACACATGTGATAAAATGACATAGAATTATGCACACACATTGTACCAATATCAGTTTCCTGATTTTGATATTGTAGTACAATTATTTGAGGTATAACCAGTGAAGGTACCACAGGACTTCTCTACACTATTTTTGCAACTTCTGTGAATCTATAATTATTCCAAAATAAAATATTAAAAAAAATCATTACTGGGACTTCTACAGTGGTCCGGTGGTTAAGACTCTGCCTTCCAATGCAGGGGACATGGGTCCAAGCCCCGGTTGGGGAACTAGGGTCCCACATGCTAGAGGGTGTGGCCAAAAATTAGAAAAAACAGAAGTAAAAACTTTTAAAAAATCTGTCATTTTTGAGGGAGGGTCATTGTGCTCAGCAGCAAGATTGGGTCTAAGCCTCTAAATGTTTAAAATACTAAATACCTTTATAAATAGTGTTAGTGGCTGCCTTTCTCCCCCACTGTGGGACTATTCTTTGAAAATTTAGTTTCCTAAAAGGCCTACTTCAGATAACAGCCAAGGAACTTGTTTTAGCTGTCTTTTTGAAAGGGGACTAGAGGAAACCTTTTCAGTGAGCCTAGAAATGAGAGATGTTGACTGCCGATAAAGCTCAATAACATCCTTAGGAAGTAGAGAATGCCTTCCAAGTTGATAAATCTCTAGATAGATCAATCAAGGTTAAAAATAAGGGAGGAAAGGAACAAATTACTTATATCAAGAATGAAAGAGGTGACATTGCTACAGACCCTTTACACATTAAGAGGACAATAAGAGTGTAATATGAACAACTTTGTACAAATAAATTTGACAACCCAGGTGAAATGGACAAATGGACAAATCTCTTGAAAGGTACAAATTACCAAAACTGACCCAAGAAGAGATGGAAAACTTGAACAGTCCTATATTAATGAAATAAATTGCATTCATAATTAAAAGTCTTTGTACAAGCTCAGATGGCTTCTTTGGTGAATTCTATTTAGCATTTAAAAAAGAAATAATACCAATCCTACACAAAATCTTTCAGAACATAGAGGGGGAGACAATCCTAACTGATTTTATGAGAAAGTGCTTCCCCATTAGGCCAGTTCTGTCAAAGCAACTCTGCAATTGTCAAAAGGTTTTTAAACTATTTCCAACCCACACAAATACAGTTATTTATGGAGCATCTGATATAAGGAATTTTGCATATATCCTTTACTTCTGTTTTTACATACATTATTTCTAATCATCATAGAAACTGTAAGAATGTAAGGGTGGTAGATTACCTCATACCCTTTCTCCCCCAGGTTTCCAACTTATTTATAAACAGACACAGGGAGCTAATTGGCAACTGAATGATCAATTTATGACCCAAAGTTCCTGGCAGTACATGTTAAATGATAAAGGTTAGCCCTTGGTAATGTGGCTTCTTATTACTAACCTCGTAAATTGAAGCCACATGCCCTTTAGCCATCAGGTTGGTCATAGTCACAGGTGGGGAGGCTGAAATGGAAAAATCCTAGGAATAGCTGGGCCTGCCAAACGCTGCCTCTGTTGCTCATAGCATAGAGACTATGGGAGCAATAGTGCTCCCCCACTTTTTATAAGAGGGTCAAGGCTGCAAGTCAGGATCAAGCCCATCTCTCCCTTTATAGATCACATGGTTCTTCCTTACTGCATCCTCTTCAGGGAGAAGGGATAGAACTTAAGTTCCCTCTCCACAATGGATTGCTGTATTTCTGCACAGCAGCCCAGCACAAATGTACACTCACAGACATGTAGAGAATATCCTGTATTTAATTAATACTGATGAGGATGTCAAACTCAAGTGACATGTGAGGTTATGTAGATGGTTGAGGACTGAGTCAAGGTTATAACCTGTCTGTCTGACTGGAGGGACTAGGATTGTTCTTGTCCCTCTGAGTTACATTGTCTCTAGATTTAAGTTTTCTGTACAAAAAATGTATCTTTGGGCTTCCTTGGTGGCTCAGTGGTAAAGAATCTACTTGCCAATGCAAGAGACACAGGTTTGATCCTTGATCCAGGAAGATCCCACATGCTGCAGAGCAACTAAACGTGTACATCACAACTATTGAACCCATGCTCTAAAGCCATGGAGCCACAAATACTGAGCCTTCATGCCTCAACTGCTGAAGCCCGACACCCTAGAGCCCATGCTCTATAACAAGAGAAGCCACCACAATGAGAAGCCCATGTACTGCAACTAGAGAGTAGCCCCTGCTCACAACTAGAGAAATGCCCTCACAGCAACAAAGACCCTGCAGAGCCATAAATAAAAAAATAAAACTTTTTTTAAAGTATCCATTTTCTGAGTAATTTATGAGGTTGCCAAAGTAACCAGAATCTGTATGTCAGCTGTTGACATGTAACGAATAGATGATCTTACAGATATAAATGATGTTATTCTTTATTTAAATGAAGAATTTGGGAACCACTCTTCATATCAAATGGGTGATGAAGAATTTGGTATTTTAAATAACTTATCTTAATATATAATCAAGGTTATAGTTGCTTGAAAATGAAACCAAATCATTTGTTGTTAAAGTCACTGTAATGGCTGAAAAAAACCACCTTAGTGTTTGCATAACCTTTTCTTTGTCAGCTTCATTTTTTCAGAAGAACAAAACAAATAATAGGCTTTACCAGTTACCAATTTAAGTTGCTTTTGAAATGCTAGTTTTAAAGGTTATTATTAGCTATTAGTTTAGTCTCTTCCTTTTTGATCAGGCACGTAAACAGTTGGTTCTTAGGTAGTTGCCATCTCTGATTAAATGTTTTCAGTTAAAATGTGTAATAAGTGTTTTACCAGTCGACTGCTGATGTGTAAACAGATTCATACCCCTTGACCTATGTACATGTAGTTGTCATTAAGATGCAGGCCTTTCTTTTTCTAACTTGAAAAAAGTACTATGGCCTTAGCTTTGATTTTGTGCTACCATTCAGTTTGGTTACAGGGTATTAACAGGGAAAGAATTTGCCTGTAGAGACTTTCATGTTTTGTGAATTTCCCCCAGCAAACACACACACATCATGTTAAAATTTTTCAGGGGAATGGAAGGTGATAAGGTTTCCCAAGGAGTAGGAACATAAGACTTAAAATGGTACAACTAAGAATTGGGATTCCAAGGTAGATTTTCATTGAAAATCTTGGTCTGTTTTAGGTTTATATTCTTAATGGCATTACCAGGGCATGCCATCTCCTTTTGTTTCTTTTTGCCATTCTATAATGGAAAGAGAAAAGTAAGGGAGAGACTAAACCAGTCATGTTTCTGTGACCCACATGTGACCGTGAACTGTTAAGGCCAAATTAGAAGATGAAAGATACAGGATTCCATGAGACACCTCCTGTTCTTCCTCCCTAAAAGGATGTGGTACAATGCCCTGGGATCAGCAGACTGGTTTCCAGTTCTGGTGCTTCAGTGTGGTGGACATGTGACTTCAGGCAACTCAGATCCCACTTTTGAGCCTTAGATGTCTCTCATAAAATGGTCCAAGGAACACTTTCATGATGGGATTGTTGTGAGAATTGGATGAGCTAATGTATGTGAAAGTACTTTGTAAAGTATGAAGTATGTAGTTGAGTACTAAGTGTAATAATATACAAATAAGTGGCATGTTACACCTTTTTAAAGTAAATTAAAATTCCAATTCACATCAGCTGATATGATTGGGGATAGGTAATTTGTGTGTATGGTGTGTGGTGATGTTAGAATATATCATGAATGCATTTTTGATAGTGGATTTTACATTTCTAATTTTCTGCTTTGGCTAATAACATGAATACAGATGTACTTAACATATTCAAACCAACCATGGGAATGATTACCAGAAGAAAGCCAAGTGGCAAGGGAAAGCATATCTAGGATTAAAATTTTGCTCATGGGTACTCTGCATTGGTTTCATTGGTCTCATGTCTTCTTGATGTATTCCCTCTCTGGTTTAAGCACTTGATGAAACTTTTAAAGGCTCATAGTTTTTGAATTTTTTTTTTTGGAAATCAAACTGTTTTCCAAAACAGTGGCATGTAAATGCATTAGCATTAAAAAGATAAAGACTGAGGACAATGACTGATATAGGAGGCAAACATAATATGTGTATAATATGTGCAGGCAGTGCCTTCATTTGGTGACTTAGTGTGGGAAGCTTATGAAGGATTTTCTTCTGAGAAGATGGTATACAGGCACGAGGGATTCCTTGATGCCTTCTTTACAGCCTCAGAGAGGCTGGGGAGGACTGAAGCCAAGGTCTTAGATCCTCTGTCTGAAATGCAGGCCAGTGAATGCTCACAACCCTTTGTCTAGTCAGACTTCATGATGGCTGCTTGATCCAGGCCAAGTTCTTCTTGTGCCTTCTATTTCCCTGGTGGCGCACAGCTCACATGCTGGGGCTCTCCTGCTTTTTAAAATTTTTAGATGAAATATTCCTGATTCCTGTTTGACGAGAGTATTTAGGAGATATTTCTTGTACCATTTTTGTTACATAGTTCTGATTGTCCAAGGAGAACAGCTTTATGCCTTGAAAAATAAGGATCATGGCTCAGGGTCCCACGAATGGGATTTTTCCCCATCATAATATCCACAGGCCTGATGATTTATGAGAAGTAAATCCGTGCATGTGCGTGTGTGTACACCCTTATAAATTTGCCCATTTTAGATGAAACTACCTGTTTCTTGTTTCTCCATATCTGTCTCTATTGTCCCTCTTTCCCAGGCTCCAGAGATTAATTCACATGAATATCAGGAGACCCCTCGTTGCTGAGTTAAGCTGAAAACTTCTTTGCACTTTCATAGCTTATTAGTTTCAAACTTGTGTCTGTAATGTTCTTCTGAGTACCACCAGAACTGGAAGTGATTAGTTTAATCACTAGGATTAAATAGTTTGGGTTAAATCTGTGAAAATGTTCAATCTACTCACACACACTGTGATTTAATACAATCATTGGGTTAAATCTGTGTAAATGTTCAGTCTACTGTCTCTCTCTCTCTTTCTGACACACACACACACACACACACACACACACACACACACACACACACTGTGATTTAATACAATCAGCCAGAGTAGTTTTTTCTGAAATTTACTAAAGCCTTGCTTGCTTGCTCAGTGATTGGTAGGACAAAGAACACCTTAAAATCATGATGTTCTAAGACTAATTGCATTTTTCAGGAGTAACTTCAGTTGTTACTTGATTTGATGAAAGCAGTAAGTAAAGTTTCACTTTTTAGAGACTTTGGTGTTTCTAATGTTCACTGTCAAAATTAACAGCGTGGTTCCTGCTTTTTTGTTTTATTCAGAGACACTTTTTCAGAAATCTTGGGTCTATTCTGGCCTATGCCTTCTTGGGGACTGCCGTTTCCTGCTTCATTATTGGGTAAGTGAATGCTTTGTCATATAACCGAATTACCACACTTCCAAAGAGATGAGATCCACATGGGTCCACAGAATCGAATATTTTCCCCCAGCTTTATTGAGCTATAATTGACACATAACATTGTGTAAGTATAAGGTATACAGTGTGTTAATTTGACACATATGAAAATTGCCAAAGATTACCACTGGAGTCTTAGCTTCCACCTTCATCTGGTCACATGGTTACCATTTCTTTTTTGTGGTGAGAACATGTTAGCAACATTTAATTAAGTATATGATGCAGTATCATTAGCTGTGATCTTATGTTGTACATTAGATTCCCAAACTTGTTAATCTTATCACTGGAAGTTTGTACCCTTTGAGCAACACCTACCCATTTCCCCTGCCCCCAAGTCCCTGGCAACTACCAGAGTCCAATATTTTGATGTTTATGATGATTATAATTAAGAGTTATTTTTTTTCATTTATTTTTATTAGTTGGAGGCTAATTATGATACAATATTGTAGTGGTTTTTGTCATACATTGACATGAATTAGCCATGGATTTACATATATTCCCCATCCTGATCCCCCCTCCCACCTCCCTCTCTACCCAATCCCTCTGGGTCTTTAATTAAGATTTAGAGTTACATCAGCCAGTGTGGTAGCTTTTAGCCACATTGTGTGCACATGCATGCTCAGGTGTGTCTGACTCTGTGTGACTCTGTGGACTGTAGCCCACCAGGCTCCTCTGTCCATGGGATTTCCCAAGCAATAATACTGGAGTAAGTTGCCATTTCCTCCTCCAGGGGATCTTCCCCACCCAAGGATCAAACCCATGTCTCCTGTGTTTCCTGCATTGCAGGCAGATTCTTTACTGCTTGAGCCATCAAGGAAGCACTAGCCACATGTGACTATTTAAATTGAAGTTAAGATTAATTAACATGAAATAAAATAAAACCTAGTCCTGGGATCTTGGTTTCTAATATCATTCTTCAATGTGGAAAGCCAAGGCCCTTTGCAGAAATGGCTGATTCTAGGCTGGGATAGCAAATATGCAGGATGACGATGGAGCATCTTGTAGTGCCAGAGAGTAAGGAAGTGCTCAGAAACAAGCAAACAAAGGGATACCAAAGCATGTCAAAGGGACAGAGAGCCAATCTGAAACCACCCCCTAATGACTAAAGAACAACAAAATAAATTACATTGTTTTGCATTACCATTCAAAGTGTAAAACAAGAATCTTTGCATCTATATTTATATAAAGGGCTTCCTGGTGGCTCAGATGGTAAAGAATCTGCCTGTAGCGCGGGAGACCCAGGTTCAATCTCTGGGTCGGAATGATCCCCTGGAGAAGGGAATGGCTACTCACTCCACTGTTCTTACCTGGAGAGTTCCATGAACTGAGGAACCTAGTGGGCTACAGTCCATGGGGTTGCAAAGAATTGGACACGATTGAGCGACTGACACACACATACTGATATAAATAAATGATTGGATGAATAAATAAATGGGGGAGAAGTGACATATCTGTTAGAAGAATTCCAAATAATTCGTGCAGATCTAGTCCTCTTCAAGGAGATGAAGCTTGGCCCTTCCCCTGTTTGATTGTGGGCATAGTGACTTCCTTACAAAGAGTACAGCATGCAAAGAAAGAAGTAGCTTTACAGTGGAGAAACCTGACAAATACCACCTCAGCCAGGTGATCAGGATTAACACCCAAATTGGTAAATCATGTCGATAGTCGGTACCTTTGATATTTGTGGTATGAATGGCATTTACCACTGTGTCTTCCTCCTAAAATCAAAGTACCTTAGTCTAATCATGAGCAAAAAAATCAGACAGGTCTCAGATTCTACAAAATACCTGACTAGTACTCCTCCCAACTGCCAGGGTCATCAAAAACAAAGAGTCTGAGAAACTCACACCAAGAGGAGAGAGAAGAGATATGATGACTAAATGTAATATGGTATCCTGGATGGAATCTTGGAACAGAAAAGGGCTATTAGGTAAAAACTAAGGAAACTTGAATGAACTGTGGACTTTAGTTAATTTTAAAAAATTATCTGGAAAGCTGGAGATAAAAGCTGGAGCCTTTTATGCCACCAAAAAATGAGGGGCTTGGACTTTGTCCTGTAAGAGAGTGACAGGATACTTTCATTGATGATGATGGGGAAAATGCTGCCAGAGAGAAGTCTATTGCTCAGGTCTAAACTTGTGGTAGATAGAAGGAAATGTAGAGGAAGGTCTAGTTTTAAGAAATACTTAAAAGGTAGATGAAAGAAGCCTTGGATAAGCAACAAATAGCAAATCAAATCTATATCATAGTGTTTAGTAGCTTAGTCGTGTCCAACTCTTTGTGACTCCACAGACTGTAGCCCACCAGGCAACTCTGTCCATGGGATTATCTAGGCAAGAATAATGGAATGTGTTGCCATTTCCTCTTCCAGGGTATCATAGAGTTCCTGTGAATTGAAATATAACTGTTCAAGTGTCTGGAACGATGTCCAGCACACAGTAGGCAGAACTTGAAATTATAACTATTTATTCTCAAAAGGATTCAACTCTGCAAAAAGTTCTTGAGCTCCTAGATAATCAATCTACTGTTCTAGGCACCCACGGTACAAAGATGAGCAATGATATGGTCTTGACTATTAAGAATCTTTTTACTGGAGATTGGCTACAGGGTACAATGAGTCTATACTGTGCCTATTTATTTTTGGTTAAATCTATTCCTAAGTGTTGTAATCTTTTTGATGCCATTGTAAATGGGATTGTTTTCTTAATTTCTCTTTATTCTGTGGTTGTTTGTATTCCCCTAATCCCTACAGGTGCTGCCAACACACACACACACACACACACACATCCCTTTAATAATAAGTACTAGGCATTTTAACACTCCTCACTCCCCCTAATTTGTGAACTGTCCTGTAGGAAATGTGATCTGCTCAAGGTGAAGTATTAACTTGATGGTCCTTCTTGGACCATATCATATTCTGCACAGTGTGTAAGGAAGGCTGCTGCTAACCTGTCTAAGCCATGCAAAGAGTGAGAAGCCAGATATGTCAGTGGGTACACTGATATTTTAATGGAAGATTTTAAAGAGTTTTGCCTCTTTTCCCTTTTTTGTAGTAATTATTGGCAGAGAAGGTTGACCACTTGGATCCTTGTGGCCATCCCATTTTTTTTCTCTCCACCTTGATCCAGTCCATTCATTTCCATGACTTTAAATGCACTCTCTCAGAATCCTGGGAGTTTTGTAGCAATTTATTACCCATTTTGCAGGGTTCTTTCTCTTCCTTTCTTCCCTACTACCTAGTTGCTTAAAATGCCCTAACTGTTGCTAGTTGAGGATCGAACTTTATAGTTGTAAGTACAATTTAAAAGTATGGAATGCTCAATATACCTCAGGAAGATGACAGTAACTGCAGACCATTACTTGGTGCCAAAGTCTTATTTGCACATGTTCCTGGTTAGTGTCCAAACACAGCAGCTGCCTGATGTTTCCACAGACCTCTTTGGAAGTGCAATATTCTAGTATTCCTCTGCTTGTGTATTTGCCAGCTTATTTGAGTAGGTGGGTTTTCTTTTCTATCTTTTTCTTCTGACACAGTTTACCTTTTCTTGTTATAGAAATCTCATGTATGGTGTGGTGAAGCTCATGAAGATTGTGGGGCAGCTCTCGGATAAATTTTACTACACGGATTGTCTCTTTTTTGGAGCAATTATCTCTGCTACTGACCCAGGTATTTGCATATTTGGCCTTATTGCCATGATGTTCCATTATTTAAATCTTAAAAAGCTCAGAGCAATCATTAACTTTCATAAAAGTAGAGGAAGAGACTAGTAAGTCAAGTGGTCTAATGGACTTAGATGGCTTTTCTAAGAAGGGCCTGCCTTTCCCTTTTTAACTGTTCAGGAAAAGTTAATTGAATGGACAAAGTCAGGTTCTTGATATTTTTCTTTCTCTTTCTGTTATTCTTTTATTTTCCCCACATTTTTAAGATACCTGTAACAGCAGTCTTCAGTCAGTGAATTGTAATTTCTCAGTCTATGTCCAATTGGAAACGGCTGTTGTGACCCTGTTCTCTTTGATTCCAAGGGTTGAGCTGTGAGGGGAGCAGCCTGTTTACTCCCTGCCTTTAGAAGTCACTTGCCTAGTCTGTCATCCCCTGCCTATCTCCACCCCTGCCCCCCACCGCCAGTACCTGATTGTCCACACCTGTAGTCCTCATCTTGGTCGGATACAGGGTTGCCCAGGAGGGCCATGGCAGACTTCTTGCCTTGCTTTCTAAGGTGATGGGCAGGGAGAATGAGAGATTGAAAATCAGAACAGCCAAGTTTAGACCAGTGCAAAGTGTTAATTATTAAAATTAATTATAAAGCTAGTATTTATCATCATAGATGAATGAGCTAACTGTACATTATATTTTTACTATTGGTGCAATAGTATTTTGGACTTCCCTTGTGGCTCAGCTGGAAAAGAATCTGCCTGCAATGCGGGAGACCTGGGTTCGATCCCTGGGTTGGGAAAATTCCCTGGAGAAGGGAAAGGCTACCCACTCCAGTATTCTGGCTTGGAGAATTCCATGGACTGTATAGTCCATGGAGTCTCAAAGAGTCAGACATGACTGAGCGACTTTCACTTTCACAATAGTATTTTAGGAAAATCGCGTTTAAAAGTCAAAAGGACTTTTGAAAATTATGTAGCTCAAGCCTTCACTTTATTAAGTCTTTGAACTTTGCTGTGCATTGTTGGATGGCTTCTAGTTGCCCCTCCAGGTTTACACACCATCCTTCTCCACTGTCTTCTTGGCACTGGGAGGCTGACTTGTACAGAAGATTTCAAAGGTTCCTATGCCTTCTACTTTCCTATTGGATTTGTCCATGGGGCAGCACCAGTAAGAGACTGAAATAGGGGTAGACATACAGGGTCCCTGTGAGTTGCCTGTGTCCCTGATCAGAGGTCACAGCTCCTGTTTGAGTACCCTCTCCACAGAGCTCCTGGTTCTGACAGTCACTCCTTCGGGCCCAGGGATGGCATAAAAGCTCTCTGTTTTCAGCTGCAGGTAACTGCCCCCCCCTCTCCCATACACTCTATGTGCTTATGCTTAGTCATTGTGTCCGACTCTTTGCGACCCCATGGATTGTAGCCTGCCAGGCTCCTCCATCCATGGAATTTTCCAAGCAAGAATAGTGGGGATCTTCTCCAGGGGATCTTCCCACCGCAGGGATCGAACCCAGGTCTCTTGCATTGCAGCCAGATTCTTTACCATCTGAGCCACCAGGGAAGCCCTGTACTCTCTCTACACTTCTATAAATAATCCCTTTTTAAACACTACTCAAATTGCTCATCTAGTTCTTGCCAGAACCCTTGCTGATAAAGTCCTGGGACCCAGGTTTCCTGGGCTGCCAGCCCTATGCTCTGCTCACTGAGATTAACCGACACCAGTCTTCAGTTCCTGAGTGAGTGACTGACTGACTGCTGTGAACAGAGGCCTCTGGTGCCAACCCCCAGTAGGTATACTGTATGAGTAATCAATAAAACTTCAGTCAGGTCCAACCACTGAGATTTTGGGAAGTTTGATACTGCAGCAGGAAAACAGCCCATCACACAGGGCCTGTTTTCTCATCTCTAAATTGGGGGATATGATAATACTACCCACTTAGGGTTTTCATGAGGACTAAACAAGATTGTAAAATGTTTATCATAGTGCCTGCTTCCTGGTAAGACCTTAATTATTGTTGTTGTTATGATAATTTTTCTTCAACATTGGGTTCAATACAAGACAGTTTTTATGTTATATAATAATAAACTAGAGTAACAATTTTATATTAGGGTTTTTCAAAGAAACAGAATAAATAGATATGTGTGTGTGTGTACATAGCAGGGAGGAGGAGAGGGAACAAGATATTAATTAATTATAAGGCCTTGGCTCATGTGATTATGGAAACTGTAGAGGTCCCAAGATCTGCAGTGAAATCTTCAACCAATTCAATGAGTCCCACCCTCATTGTGGAGGGCCATCTGCTTTACTCAGTCTACTGATTCAAATGTTAATCTCATCCAAAACCTCAGATACATCTACAATAGTGTTTAATCAAATATCTGGGCACCCCATGGCCCAGTCAAGTTCACAAATAAAATTAACCTTCACAGGTCTTATGTAAGGAGACACACATATTGTTCATGTAATAAATAATCCACAAAACAAGAACTTTTTTAGCCTAATCCCTAAAGATTTTTCTGGTTGTGTAACTTGCTTAACTGTTTTTAGGGGTGGAAGAAAGAGATTGACCTTGTGTCTTGAAGATGTATTATGAAGAGATTACATGTCTGTCTTTTAGAAAGTAGGCCTGCTGGTGATGCCCCATGTTGATGTCTGGTTCGCATCTGAATGCTTACAGTAGTGATTTTATTGCCTAGATTTATGATTATCTGGATCTGCCTTGTGATATAGTTGACATTTTTCAAATCCAAATTATTTTTTGCTTACTTTCAAATAAATGAATTAAACTTTTTGTAAAGAAAGGCACAATGAGGGGTAGATTGGGAATCTCCCTTAATCTCTATCAAAAATAGAGCAAGCAGGACAGCAAAAGAGAAAACAGACTGAACTAGCTGACAGAGTATCTTGATGAATCCCCTGATATCAACTGGTGGGTCAAACTACCCACAGCAGTGAGACTTTGGGATAAGAACAGCAGTTATGCTGGAGGAAGCAAAGGGAAGAGGGGACTGCTGGTTGTTTTGATTGTCAGGGCACCCAGAAATATCCTGCAAGTATACACACTCAAAAGAACGGGTCCCCACTGGGAGTCAAGAATTTTATGGTTCTGTCAGTTAACAATAGTTAATATTGGGAGGATGCCTCTCAGGCTCCCATTTGTGGGTGAGGGCAAGGAGACTGGAGGAGGTGTGAGGCTGCTGGAGGGACCTGGGTCCTCAGGGCTCTTAGGAAATCCCTTGTGGAAGATCTCTCTGCAACAACAGAGCTACTCCATAAAAATGACCTGCTTGGACCACTGACCTTGATTGAGAGGGCATTAGAGGAGAAAGAAAAGTCAGATTTTAATGGTGAAGGAGACCAGAGGAAGTAGATCTCAGGTTGAGGAGGTGGCTGTATTGAGGAGGTGGCTGTTTTGAGGAGGTGGCTGCACCGAGAGGCCATATTTTTAAATATTTCAGTGTAAAACCAGAAGAGGGAGCCATAGAGCCATGAAACTAGGAAAGCTGTTCTGGGCTTCTACCCACCTCACTCACTGTGAGCAGCAGAAATGGATTGAGGTTGAATTTCACATAAACAGAAGAAAAAGTGGGGATAACCCCTCTGAATAATAAAGTTACAGATAATGAAGTCATACCAGAAAAAGAGGCTCCCAAAGGAGATGAAACTTTATTAATATGCCAACAGAAGCTAAAGGAAGTTAATAAAACGATAGAAGTTAGAACTGTATACATCAGGGTTGGACAGTTAAGAAAAGAGAAAACTAAACAATAGGGCATTAGGAAAAGAGAGCTAACAGAAAGGAATGAAAGGGGGAAGTCATAGAGTAAAAGACATGTCAGTTCAGTTCAGTCGCCCAGTTGTGTCTGACTCTGTGACCCCATGGACTGCACCACGCCAGACCTCCCTGTCCATCACCAATTCCTGGAGTTTACTCAAACTCGTGTCCACTGAGTAGGTGATGCCATCCAACCATCTCATCCTCTGTTGTCCCATTCTCCTCCTGCTTTCAATCTTTCCCAGCATCAGGGTCTTTTCCAATGAGTCAGTTCTTGGCATCAGAGGGCCAAAGTATTGGAGTTTCAGCTTCAGCATCAGTCCTTCCAATGAATGTTCAGGACTGATTTCCTTGAGGATTGACTGGTTAGATATTCTTGCAGTCCAAGGGACTCTCAAGAGTCTTCTCCAACACCAGAGTTCAAAAGCATCAATTCTATGGCACTCAGCTTTCTTTATAGTCCACCTCTCACATCCATACACGACTACTGGATAAACCGTAGCCTTGACTAGACGGACCTTTGTTGGCAAAGTAATGTCTCTGCTTTTTAATATGCTAATATGCTGTCTAGATTGGTCATAATTTTTCTTCTAAGGAGTAAGCATCTTTTAATTTCATGGCTGCACTCACCATCTGCAGTGATTTTGGAGCCCAAAAAAATAAAGACAGCCACTGTTTCCCCTGTTTCTCCATCTATTTGCCATGAAGTAATGGTACTAGATGCCATGATCTTAGTTTTCTGAATGTTGAGCTTTAAGCCAACTTTTTCACTCTCCCCTTTCACTTTCATCAAGAGGCTTTTTAGTTCCTCTTCACTTTCTGCCATAAGGG